AATAGAATTTTGAATTGACAAGATTATAGGTATCAACATTTACTTTGATAAAGAAATGTTACGATAAACAGTTAAATGCAATTGAAATATATTTTGAATCTATAGATTATGAATAAATTTCTTTTCTTTCCAGGAGGACTTCAATCCTCGTCCAAGGTATTTCTATACTGATTTAATGTTTGGTCTGTGAAACAGTCCAAACGTAATCTGGACACTGTGTCTGTCAACTTACATTTCAAATTTCTTCATTGCCCAGATTAATTGACAAACAATAGATGTTGACTTGGTTGGTGTGTTCAGGCCTAAGCAAATACACCTTTTCCAACTAATTTTGATTGAAACAGTTGATATTACTATTGCATACAGTATAATAATTTCAATAAGGCAACTAGAAATGAGTTGTTTGCGATGAACAGATAACGAGTAAGAATTGAGCTTTTGAACTTAGAACTGAGAGGCTGAAACCTTTATTCATTGGCTATGTCTATGTCAATGTTAATTTTATTGCAGTCAATGGTCTCAGGGGCAGATCTAGAGGGAGGGTGCAGGGGGTGCAACCTCCCCCCCCCCCCCATGAGATGAAGCCTTCTTTATTTTCACTTTTAAAATTTGTTTATCTCATCAGTCAGTTATGCCATTCCTTAGAGGTGCACCCCCTCCTAAGAAAAATCCTGGATACCCCTGGGTCTATTCTTATGCAGTCTAACCTCTACTCGTAGATATTTTCTGCAAGGGTCACCTGTAATCAAACNTGATTCATAGGAGTAATACACGTACAATCCAAAATTCATAACTAAAAATCGACTGTGCAAGTGTAAGACAGGAGTCACTTGACACTTCTCTGTGTTCTTGTTGCAGACGGATTTTAACTGAAACAGAAACAGAGCTGATATCTCAGAAAAGGTTTAATGAACTGGTTGAGCAACAGAAGAAGGTAGATGCAGAAATTGATGCCCAGTTGTCCCGGCGAGAGGAGGATTTACGGCTTGAAGAGGAGGTGATTAAATGTAGCTGCATCTTTGGATGCGAGATGCGAGATGTAATTAAATCAGGCATGGATCTATGCCTGAGTTTCAACTGTGTTATGCAAATCAGTCAGTGTTTTCAGAATGACTCAGAAACCTAGGCAAAAGGGACTCGAGGAAGTTAAAATCAAAAATATTTCGTGGGTGAACATGGCCTCAGACCCCTCTAGAAGCTTGTCTGTGCCTTCGGCATTCACTGTTTTGGAAATCAGTCACCAGTTATCCTAGACCCACCAGTGTAAATGTACCTGTTCAGACAGACTACCAAGCCGTTCTTTGAGAAGCAAGAAAGCAGTGGAGTTGTGGTATATTTTCCTTAGCTTTTTAATTCAGGTATAAAGTTTAGAAGATGATGACTTTATAATTTGTTGAAGTA